AAAATTTAAAGAATTGAAAAATATTTGCTTGGAAAAATTTTGTGGTTATGGTGAAAAATTATTTCAGTCAAGTGAATTGGAACTGTTGGAAAAACCAATTTTATTGTCAATACTTGAAAGAGATGATTTTAATGTTGATGAAATAATTACTTGGGAAGGTATTCTTAAATGGGGATTGGCTAAGCATCCAGAAATTAACAATATTAATTATGTTAAAGTTTGGTCAAAGCAAAATTTTACTGATTTAGGAAACACATTAAAAGATTTAATTTTATTAATCAGATTTAAAGATATCTCTAATGAGGACTTTCGTTCCAAAGTTATGCCTTTTAAGAAGCTGTTTCCTAAGGATTTATGGGAAACTCTTTTAGATTATTATATAATCCCTGTTAAACAACCAACCTTAAATTTATTACCATCAAGAAATAGAAATTTAAAAAGTCAATCAACAATTACAAATCTTGAATCAGTAACAATTAATCAAAATCTTACATTGCTTTTTGCAAGTTGGATTGATAAAAAAGTTCCACCATATAATTCATTAAGAGATGTTAAGTATGAATTTAAACTTTTATATCATAGTAATAGAGATGGTTTAAATGCAGAAATATTTCATAAAAAATGTGATAGTATCAACAAAACTCTTGTAGTTGGAAAAGTACACAATTCAGATCAATTAGTTGGAGGTTATAATCCACTCAATTGGAGTGGATGTCAATATAAGTTTACAACTGATAGCTTTATATTTAATATAAGTGATAGGAATGACATTAATTCTGTACAGTTTAGCTATGTTAATGGTAATAATTATGGGCATGCAATTGGGTGTTATCCTTCTTTTCTTCCTAGATTTGGTGCTGGTTTTGACATTTGTTTTTATTCAGATGGTGGATGTCGTTGTTATCCTCAAACTTATAATAACATCAATCTAGTAGATTGTAGTCAATTTGATGAATTAGAGGTTTTTCAAATAATTAATAAAAATTAAAATAATCAAGAACACAAAGCAACAAATTACTATTTTTAAAATCAATTTACAAGAATTAAATAAAATATTGATTTTACAATCAACAATTAACAATTGATAAAGTTAATCATAAATTTATTTTTCTCATTAAAATTTAAATATCCTGATTGACCAAAACAAAATTTTTTTTTGTGTGCTTTCTCTCCTATCAAAGTAATTTGGATAAATGGATGGAGTGCTTAGATGTGTTCTAGCTTTTTTACGATGTTCTTAGATCAATGTAAAAACAAGCATCACATCATTATATAAAAAAAATTGCTATTGACAAATATTTCACTTATAAAAGCATTATGATTAATTAAAAAGGTCAAATTTTATCCCAAGAATGAATTGAATAAAGCTAAATAAAGCAAAAAATACTCTGAGCCATTTTCCAAATTAGTGATGTTAGCCGTTTAAAAATCCTTAGCCGGCTAAGCCGTTTACTACCTAAATTGGTAATTTTATTTCCATAACAAGAAGGTAATGCGGAAATCTATTACCAAATTTAGAAATTAAGTATGCAGATTATTAGCCGGCTAACATCATTATTCCAAATTACTTGCTATTATAGCATTATAATATATAATATAATAGATGGTTTGAGTTAATTTTATATAAAATATAATGTTGCAGACAAATTGGGTTGAATACATTGCTCCTCTTTAGAAAGTAGAGTTGTAGTAGCGATTATTTATTATGGGAATGATGGAATTTTTTAAAACACTATTTAATATACTCAATAACACTAATTGAAGATGGTTGTGGTGAAAGAGTTCAATAATAATATAACACTTAGAGAAAATGTAGTAAATTTCCAAGATTTGATGTGATAAATGAAACTCCATCATGCGCAATTTGCTATAGTAAATTAATTTAAGAATGTCTTGTTTTTTTATCATAAATTATATAGTAGTTTACAAGCAATCATAGCATTAACAAAAATTGGTAAAGTTGCTTATAATTTTCAAAAAGCGAATCATACCCACTTATCCAGGGATGCGCGTGTATATAAAGTAATCGGGTGCCTGCAAGTTTTATATGTGTTTATGTGTATGTAAACGTAACAAATAATTAAAAAGTTAGTTTAATATATAATTTTGCTAAAAAATAATATTTATATTTAAAATAATCACCGTTCAATAAATCTCGAATTTTCAAAATCTTTATATCTTATAATTATTACTCACATTTATCTATGATGAATACCATAATGTTTTTCAGTCCGGCTTGGGATCAAAGTTTTCATGCTGAATTTGCCATCTTTTTTTGAAAGAAGAATTTCTTTATAGACTACCTTATATATTCGGTTATTTTATTGTGGTCAATCTAATTTATGATTAATGAACTAAATCAATACTAATAAAAATCTATTCAAACCATTTATTTTTTTTTTAATATTAAATTATTTAAAGCTAGTAAAACTTTATCGTTAAGTAAATTGTAAGATTGCTAATTTAATTTAATAAAATATGTCATTGTTATTCTTTTAAAAGAATCACATGTACCTCGAGGTTGCAAGGGATATTTGTACCTTAAATGGGGAAAGAATTATGGCCATAAATCATATTCTTCAAAGATTTTTGGAGATATGAAGACCTAGTTCATAAAAGGTAAAGAATCATTATGGGTATCATTAATATATTGTTAAATAAGATGTTCAAATATTCCATTATTTAAACAATGCATACTAATACTATTGGGAATCAAATTCGCCAATAAAATATAATAACCACATATGCGTGTATACAACTAAAATTAGCAAATAAATCATATTTTAGTACTAGTACGTCTTATAATATTTTTCACCACTTTATAGATTGCGGGCATGTCTTATTAAATGAACTTTATTGTAAAAATCTCCAATATTTAATTATTTTTCATAGAAATATAATAAAAACATAGATATCATCAACAGAGTTCGTTCATTATTATTATTGAGAAGGTTCTTTCAATTTGAAATTGTAAAATAGTTTTTACTTAAAAGAGGTGTTCACTTTTTAAATCCCAACGATCAATTAGATATTCTTTAAATAAAATATCACTAGAATTTCTCCTTTAGTTCCTCGATTATTATTAGATCAGATTGTTTGCCAAGTTGATTTCATTAATGTTGAAAAATAAAGCCGTCAATTCCATAGCTATCGTTGGAGAATTTTCTTTCCAGTTGTCTTGATTTTCATCAAAACATGTTTTCGCGATCTAGAACATTTGGAATTAGTCGTTTCCGTCACAACCCAGAAATAACGTTTTGATGTTGAAATTTCCCCCTAAATATTAAATAAATTTCCTTTTTTTTTCTTTTTCCCCTGCCAAGAAAATTATCGTAGTAACAATCCCTGCCCAAATATCAATTCCTTTTAAATCTAAATCATCATTTTTTAAAATACTTGTAATTAAAGCAACCTTAAACAAATAAATAGTGAGACGGATAAATTTTGTTGAATCCATTCTTTTTCATTAATGATTAAACGATTTGCAAATATCAACAACGCATGCTTTAGAAGTAATTACATCAGGATTTAAACTGTTTATATTAATGATCCAATTATCAATATATTTTAAGTAAATGCAATGTTAATAATGTAGCTTTATTTATATAAAACCAAAACAATCGAATAGATCAAATTAAATTTGCATTAAAAAGTACTTGAACATTTTTTGAAATATGATTCTTCTTCGAATAAAGTAACATCGCCCGTCACCAGGCCTTTTAATCCAAGCTGAAGAATATAGTTTTATCACCAATTTTAATCTCTACTGGTTCATTTAGTAAATTTGCTAGATCATTTTCAACCTTTAAGAAGTTACAGGTTAAAGACTTTTAACGACGAAGCATTTTCAACAGAATCAATAATGTTTTAATTAACGTTGTGGTATTTTCTAATGATGAAAAAACTATTGGATATTTGAACAAGTTGAAGAATTTAAAGACGTGTAATTATATTTTAAGAATTAAGGTTTTTCACAATTTCTTTGTTGTTGTTGTACAAACCCTTTACATAATTATTTTTGAATAATACAATGAATTGATTATATAATTTGCATATGAATTTTTTTTTGTGTATTAGTAGTTTGGTATTAAGAATAAAGAAAAACATAGATCAACATCACATGATCTGAGAAATAACGTGTGTAATTTTATTCAACTTAAAAAATTTTTTTTCAGTTCAGCGAAAAACTAGTCACTTTATAAATTCAATTTTTTTTGAAAAAAATAAAGTTTGACTTCACAATTTGTAATCAATGGATCAGTCGATGAATGAATGAATTTTCTTGTATTGGAAATTAATTTCCACATTATTGTAATTTGTTTTCAAAATTTATTTTTGAATTATTTTTTTTTTAACTTTCTGTATAATAATAAACAAAAAAGCAGTGGCTTATATTTAATTCAATTAACCTCGTGCAAATATGTGTCTTTTTCCCTCTCATCATCTTGCACTTTCTTTCTTTACACACAAATCATTTCCTCATTTGTAATAATTTTACTAAATTGGATTTAAACACGATGTAAAAAATTCACGAGTTTTAGATACATTTGTTGTTTGTTATATATATAAATATTGGTACAGAACACATGAAAGAAGTTCGATCAAGAGCTATTTAATTCGTTCTTTATTGTTCTTGATGAAGGAAGATCAGCTCTTTTCATTTTTAAAGTAAGAGGTAATGAATTATAAAGTTCCAATTATTGGAGGATCTACCACACTAATAATGTTATTAAATTTTATATAACTAATACTAAACTATTATTATTTATTTGGTTTAAATATAGTTTTTTTTGGTTCAACGTAATATCAACATTTTCGGTTTAACTTATTTTAATAATTATAAATTTTTTTTTGTTTAATAAATATCTAATTACATACAAATGAATTAATTTTCTTTTTTTTAATCTCATTTAGAGTCCTTTGGTTCGTTATATATATATATATATATATATACGTAATAGAATCACAATATCTATCTATTTACTCAACAACTATTAAATATGATTCACCAACAATACAATGAAAATTATATCATTCCTAATGAAATTTCTTCTCAGAATCTTCCTCCTCTCATTACTACAGGTAAGCAGTGAATCTTTCTTTTTTTAATGGTGTGGAAGTGGAAAAGATTTTATTTAAAACACGAGAAATGAGCATCTGAAGCGAGAAAAAAGAAACCTTTAACGTGACTGAAAACATATAACATGTATAAATTATATGCACAATCAATACGATGGTGATGATGATGATAGGTCAAATAATATTTAAATTATTTTTCACACTATTTCTTTTGATTTTTTATATAATCTGATCATTAGATATAAAATTTGAGTATCCCCCAATACTTGATGTATCTAGTTCCCCTGAACATCCTTTACTATTACAACATCATATGTCTTTCCCACAACCACCACCTGTCTTTTCCCCGTTTCCACCCTCGCCTCTGCTTACTCACGAGATAATTGTACCACAATTACCACTACAAGATGACCAACTATATTATCCAGAATTTAGACAATACGACAAAGAAAAATATGAAAGTTCAAAATCTGATGGTAATAATTGTAGTAGGAGACGAAGACAACAAATACAAACACAAATACGTGGTGAAGAATTTTGTGATACTGCTTCTTCGTTAGATGGATATGAAGATGATGATATTATGAACATTAATAAGTAAGTAGTAAAAAAAAAAAAGTAATAATTAAAAAAAAATTAAAAAAAATTTTTTTTTCTATTTATTTATATTTTTGTTTATATTTTTTGTTTAATAAGGAAATTTAACACGTGTGGTGAATTCAAATTTTAATTTAACATTTGACACGTTTTAAAACAATCCAATTAACAAACATATACACATGTATATATATATATATATACACACATTACTGCTATTATTTATTTAGTCAATTAACACATGCTGAAATGCGTCGACAAATGCATATCCAATCTGAACAGAAAAGACGTGCAGAAATCAAGGATGGATTTGATGACCTTCAGAACCAATTACCAATTCCTAATCACGGTCGTAAGATGAGTAAAGCATTGTTGCTTCAAAAAAGTAAATGATCATCTCAATATTTTTACGCACGTGATCAACAAATATTATTGTTTAATTAATTTAACTATTCAATTCTACAAAAAAAAGCCGTTTTACATATAAAAAATATGAAAGCAAAAGAATGTCATCTTTTGGATGAAATCAATCGGCTTAATCAGTATATTAATTATTTGACTGGTGAACTTGAGAGAGAAAGAAGGTTATTATTGTTTTTCATATCATAATCATCATCATTATTATTATGTATGACATGATGGTTATGAGAGTTGAAATTTTATATTCAAATATTTATTAATTTTCATCCTCATTCTTTCATCGATAGAATGAATAATATATACCAGCAAAAAGAAACACTCGACAAACTTTATCAGATTGGATTGTAAATCACTCATTCATCAACTCATTCACCCATTCGCCTGCGCATTTTTACGCTTGTTGTTTTTATGATCGGATTGATAATTAATGTGATGACAATAATAATGATCTTTATATATATATCTAAAATATTTTTAAAATTTCAAAAAAAAAAAAAAAAAAAAAAAAGAATATATTTTTTTCATTATTGCTAAATAACGATATTTCTTCTTTTTCTACCTTTCTCTTCTTTTTTTTTTAAACGTAGATTATAAAATTACGTGTCGTCTTCTTTTTCTCTTGTGCTTTCACTTTTTAACATTTTAAAAAAAATTGCAATAAAATCGGTATAATCAAAAATACCAATTTTCAGTAATGATCTTTGCAATTGTTGTGTTCAGGAAAAAAATTTACAAGGGTTTCTCGATGTTCCACGAATTTAATACAAAATAGCTGCAGTTGAAGCTGCAGAGCGCTCTCCAAATTTTTTTAACGAACATTGGTTATTATTTTTATGATAGAAAAGAAAAACTCGGATCTCTGACAGCAATGGTTTGTTTAACAGATTATTACTACATATTAGCCTTCTTGTGCTTAGTTAAATGGCTTGAACGGTTTTATCTTACGATATTACATGATCCATTGGGGTGAGCGGTCAACTAATTAAATCAAAACTATGTATGGACCCATATAAAATTTAATATTGGAATTTTTTTA